TTGCTGTTTCTCAATAAAATTAATTAAAAAATAAAATAATGTTTGTTGTACACACATTTAAATTTACAATAAGCTGGGCATGGTGACACAAGCCTGTAATCCTAGCACTCAAGAGGCTGGGACATGAGGATCATTGTGAGTTTGAGGCCAGCCTGGACTACAAAGTGAGCTCAAGGCCAGGCTGAACAGCATAGTGAGACCCTGTCTAAAAAAAAGAAAAAAGAATAAGAAAATAAATGTGCAATGTTGTTTTATATCTTTCATTTTAACTTTTTACATATTTCTAATTATATTATTCCCAGTAAAGTGACAAAGATAATATACTCACTTTAATTACCTGTAGTAACACCATTTTAATTGGTACATAAAATGCTCTCAGGGCATATGCGAGGGTAATTACTTTGTTAATGTCCTGTACTTAGCATTAAATCAGTGTTTTTCTAATAACACTCTCAACTGCAAAGTGTCTTAATCAAATAGTCTTGCTAGTATATCTTATAGGAGACACCTTAATTATATCTTTCATTTGTATAACTTAGAATCTTCAAGGTGCTTTCAGAAACATCCTTCAACAAGGGAAAAATGGAGCGAAGCTGTTGATACAAATCTCATGGTTCTCATAAAGAGGCTGAGATTGCAGAGACTCACTCACAGCCAATATCAGTACAGGCAGGGCAGCAAAGGAGCAGAATTACAGTCTACAATTACAGATAGGGCACTTGGTTAGCAGGACACTGTCCTGCTGCATAACCAAGGCAGCTCAAAACAATAACAGACTATTGAAATAATCCCACAGAGTTTATTTAAGAATTTGGAAAACTACTAATGAAACTGGGACTACTGAAGAATTGATATTTTGATCCATATTTTTCAAACATCTTTGCTTACTAACTGAAATAATGTGTGAAATTAACCAGTGCAGTGATGACTTATTTTAAAAATCACCAAGATTCATAATTAAATATTCATAATTAAAAGAAAGGCTTAATGAGAAACTCATTAAGACGGAATTATTTCAAAATGACAACTTTGTATGAGGCTTTTAAAACATAATTGTTGATGAATGTTCCATTTTCATACTGAATTTTTCCACTCAAAATGAAGTGTCTGGTGTTTAATATGCAGAATGACTGCTTAACTTAGCTTTATGCAGGCGACCAGCAGACCACATGAGCACTGCAGCACCATGACTTGTAGGTGTTACGATTTATCAACATGAACATGAAGAACAAATCAAAGCGAAGATCTGGAAATTTTTCGGCAAAGTTATTAATTCCCAAGTACTTTACGAAACATATTTATACTATTTATGGGCCCAAAGCCATAGATTCCATTCTTGCCATGTATGCCTAGAGAACATGATATAGAAGCAAGCCATTTTATCTGAAGTGTTCTTCTTGTCACTGGATGTGACTCAGTTGTGATGTCCCCAGTGACAAAATTTACATCAGGCCTGAGTGACTTTATCTTTCAATAAGAAAAGGATACATACCCACACACAGCAGAGGACTGCCACAAAGAAAATAGTTTATGATCTCACAAATTCATTATGTACATTAACTAATTTTACCCTTGCCTAGATCCTCAGGTAGATATTATTTTCCAACTTTACAAAACATGACTGACATCAGCAAGGTCACAGGCTTGAGGAAAGACAAATGTGAATTTGAAGGACAGGATTTTTAAAGCTGTTCCCTAACGCTTGGCTCTCATCAGTCCTGTGTCTTCCATTTGTCTGCAAAAGAAGATTTCTGCCTCTGCAGAATCTGCGAAGGCTATGAATTTCCACAGAGAATGCATAGCCATATTGTTTTCTGATTGAACAAAACAAGCAAGAAGTAAGTCTTTATGTCTAAATTTCTATTCATGTCTGCTTATAAATTCATGTCTGTTATGGAAACCCTCAGGGCAAACTTTGAATTCAATGAATAAAATATTGCATTATATTTTTAAAGATATATTATTTTATTCTGAAAGATAAACACATTTCAAAAGCTTTAAGTGTTATGTCGGTGAAATACTGCAATAGATATTTTTAATTCTATGTCTCTAAAGAAGACTAGTTTATATGATTGATATCCTATAGTTCTACTTCGAATAAGATATGAATGATATGATTCCTCAAAACTCAAGTGAATTTATATTGTTATAGATCTATTCAAACCTTAGAGTATATGTTTGTTCCTCGTGCGTGTGTATTTTTTTTAACATGGTTCTGGTGATCAGACCGTAGGCCTTGCACATGTAAGTATTGTACTACAGAACTACACTCCCGATCCCTTGAATATATTTTAATTAGATGTAGAAATGTTTGATCTTGTGTTCATACCTGAGTTTTAAGCAATATTTCCCTCATCCGCTCTGATTTGCTCTATTCATAAATTATTAGCTTATGTTTATATAAAATTCCTTCAAGACTAATCAATTTTAATTCTATGAAGCAAAAATAAGACTAATTTTTACTATACGATGTTGTAATCACACCCATCAGAAGTATGTTTTCCAGAATTTGTATTTTAAAATAAATAACAGAAAAATAATATCTGATATATAAAAAGAAAGATGACTGCTTTTATGGACTTCATGGGAAACATTTTGTTTTGTTGCTTATACTGAAATTTAGAAAATTTTATCAGCTACAGACAAATTTGATTTCAATTCTTTGACTGAATTTTAATGTTAGAGACAGAATGTCCATAAATGATGGTCCTGGTTTAGCTGTTTAGCAGGGTGTCTTAGATATTAAAATAAAGTTAGAACCTAAGTAGCAGAAGTCAGAGCCTCATGGATGAGCTATGTCTACTGTGGGCACCAGCAATAACCAAGCCTCTCCTTACCCCAGCAGCTCCCGCTCCCGGAGTGTTTCTCTCCAGGCAGATGGCTCCTTGTCTCACTGGATTAGAGTCAGGCTTCACTGATCATGTCTTACTGAAGTGGGGGCTTGCCGCTTACAGCAAAGTAACATTTTAGGTTGGGCCCACAGACTGTGAAGAGAAAAAGCCAACTCAGATTAGCCTAGGATGCCTCACAGAAAGGCTGCAAATGGTGTTCTTTAAGTCCCCTTAGAGATGTGCAGGGGCTGCAGGTATGTCACCTGGAAACTGATAGAAAAGTTGTTAATTTAAAAAATGATAACAGTGTAGGTAAAGACTATACTTTAGTTGAACAAGAGTAAAATGATTGGTTATCCCAGAATCACCATTAAATACTACTAAAGAAATTATTACCAAGTGTGACATGTATACTAGAATTGAAATTGATCATATTCACTATGACAACATTATCTATTTTGAATTTTGAATTTATTTCTAGCAAAGGAACCCAGTGGTGGTCTGTGACAGGGAGACCCATTTTTATTCAATTTGTGGTTCAGTCTGGCAAATTCTTTAAGTGAGCAAAATAATCAAGCAGATAGCATCCTGGATTCCGGACTGAACTCACTGGCCTCACAATACACCATTTTAATGCTCACTGAGTATCTTAGGCATGTGAAACAAAGCCAATCTAGTGCAAGAGAGTATCAGAAAGTGTAATTTTTAAACCTTAATTCCCTCTTATTAAATAAAAGAGTGTATGTCTCTGAATTCCTAATATGGCTTTCCTTGTATGGGAAACTTTAAAAACTCAGATTTAAATTGATACTTATCAGGAAGCCAGTGCTTCATTAATGTCTCACCTATCCAACTTGTGCACTCTTTTTTTATGTAAAATCCACACACTAAATCCAAAAACACAAGGAAAAGGAGGTTGTAAAGTTACATAGCTAGGGCTGGCCGGATAGCTCAGTGAACTAAAGCGCCTGCTTAGGCAGAGTACAGCAGCCGAGGTTCGAACCCCACATGCCGTGCCGGCCCCCATCTCTGGCACACTGAGACAGCAACTGAGACTGGGCATGGTGACATGAACCTGTAGTCCCAGCACTTGGGAGACTGAAAACAGGGGGATCATTATGTGTCTGAGACCCTGTAGACCCTGTACTAAATACATTTAAAAAAATTACACAGCTGAAAAGTCCTGTAAGTATAAACCCTAAGTGTTCAGTATTAACTTTCCTAAGTTTTCACATCTCTGAGAATGGTCATGAGCATAGATTTTTACCTTGTTTATGGACCATTGTTAAGAGATCTAAAATTTGTATGCACGTTAACATCATTTTTTCCTTATTTTTACATAGGTTTTTAATTGGTTTTGATTTTTGAATCCACTGTCTTAATTATACACATGAATGGGGTGCCACATAATGTTTCCACTTATAACATGTGTGATCAGATCTCTTGTTGCTCACCCACACCTGGAAGCAAGAAAACAGTTGCTTAGAATTGTCTTTTGTGTTCTCATCTGGTTTTTCCAGATGTTTAAACAGCAAAACTGGGCAACAGCATACCCTTCACTTTGGGGAGGTAATGGATTGCTTTTCTGCCAGGTCACATTAGGTATAGCAGGAAAGGAGTCTCACGCAGGGACCGTATTTCTTTCAAGTGGGTTGAGCTAGATAACAGTAAGAATGCTGCGACGGAATAAAAACCCTGAGATGGAATTATGTTTATCTTCTATATTTAACAACCAGGTGCTGTAGCTCAGACTAGTTCCCTTGCCCTAAGTTGTCTTTTAGAATTTCAGGGATAAGGCTAGAGTGATGCTTAGGTCTCTAATTTCAGACCCTGGGATTTTTCAGCAGTCCCTTGGACAATAATGGCTGCAGTGCTCTAACACACTGGGTGATGGATTTTCATGGAAACATCTTTACTGCCTGAAGATTAGGGGAACAGTCTTGAGGTGAAGGTGTTTGCAGACATCCTGATGAAATTTCAGTTACCCTGTATATAAAGAAAACATAGACAGAGTGGCTGATCCAAGGATTGAGAAGAGGTGGTAACTCAGCATGGACAGTTAGTAGAGCGAATCACCAGCGTTAACACACGCTCTCATCGTGGGGGTGGGTGAGTGAGTAGGTACCAACATTCTACAGCTACATCGATCCCTTTGCTATTTGCCCCCAGGGATTTCCGGGGAACACGAACGCGGACAGTGTGGTGCACTACAGACTCCAGCTGCCCTTCGAAGCCAGGTTCGTGCGCTTCCTGCCTTCAGCTTGGAACCCTAAGGGCAGGATTGGGATGCGGATCGAAGTGTACGGATGTGCATATAGTAAGTGCTATGTTTTCCTCTTGTGAAATCAGTATCCTCGAGAAATTGTAAAAGCCAAGCTGCAGGTGAACTTGACTTTTTCTGACTTTTTAAACAGCTGAGCAAGTAGGACTGATTTCTATGGAAACCCTTCTGTGTCTGTCTCCCCCACGATACTCTTAACTGTAGTTGCAGCCTTTTAGGGTTGACTTTAGAAGGGGACTGAACGGAGATATATTTTGGTATTTCCAGAGTTAAACAAAGTATTTGTGTCATCTTTGGTATTTAATAAAGCTAGTAAAATTCCAACTAGTACCAGAAAATGGTATTTTTTGGAGCTGAGATGGTGCCCTGGTATTAGAATGCAGTAGTGGTACTGGGTCCAATTTCTCATGCCTGGACTTTACTCTGTGATGTTGCAGCTCTAATTTTACTTTTTCTCCATCAACCTCAAGGTGCAGCCTTTTGTACAGCATGCTGAAGCTTCACTCGATGTTCCCTTGGTGGGACCCTACGTGTGTGTATTAAACCAGCCTTTTTTCTCTTCTATTAACTCTACTAGAGCACATAGACTGGAAGTGCTGTGAATACAACATAAACATAAAACATAAGCATTAAAATTATATGGCAGAGCTCAACTAAACAAGCTCCATTTGATGATTCATTATATTCGTCCGCTATTTCCGTACATCATCATCATGTTTGAAATTATCATCAAAATAGAACAAAATTAAAAATCTTCTTGCATAAAACTGGAGAGCAGTGCAAATGCCAGCTAGATGGAAATGTGCTAGACCTCTTTGACTTGGGTTAGGTGGCACTTCCTTTTCACACCATTTGCATGTTGTTACCCTCTCCCTCTTTGCTTAATTTGCTTAACCGCAGCTTTAGCCTTGAAGAATATTAATTTTCTAAACCATAAGAATAATCTACCTTCCATGAAACATTTCATGCCTCAGATGTTACCCTCTATCGCTTATTACTTAACCTCTATGGAACACAATTAATTTGCTGACTCTACCTCTGCTTTCTAACGTTAACATTTTCGTAGGGCATTAAGTAGAATGGTTATGTTTTGCTATGACATTTTTTTCTTCCTCCCCTTGGTCATTTCCTTTCATCACTCTTGTTTCACTCATGGTTGCAATAGCGCTGATGTCTGAGAGTTAGAATTTCTCTGATACTATGATATGAGTTCATCCTCCTGTTACTCTGAAACAACTTCAAGTTTACTAACTTCAAAGCAAAGCATTCTCTTTGATGATTTGCCATTAGCATGATGCTCCTTGGTGAGGAGGTATTGCTCCAAAACCTAGGGCTTCGGGTCGATATCAGAAACATCAAAGCTCTGAAGGCCAGTGGCCACACAGCTGCTATGGATTCTCCTGGGGCCATTTGCTTTTGTAAACACATATTGTTTTGTCTTTTTTTTTTTCATGTATTTGGTACAAGATTTCACTATGCAGCTCAGAATCAATAGTGATCCTTCAGTCTTCAGTCTCCCCAGTGCTGAAATTACAGGCATGCACCACCATGCTTGGCTTCTGTTGCCAGCTCAGGGTGCCCTGAGGGTGGGGCTGGCATGACATGTGGTGCCAGGAATCAAACCGTGGTCCCTGAGCTCACCTAAGCAGGCACTTAGTCCACTGAGCTATCTTGCCAGCCCATATACACATATTGTTGAGTGTGAAGGACTTTTAGCAAAAAAAAAAAAAAAAAGCAGACAGATAATATATCACCACTACTAACATATCACCATTAGTAATTCAAGTTATTCTTTAGGAACAGTAATTAAGAATTAATTAATATTCAAGTATATTAATTGTATTTATGTTCTGAACAATAATATAACATTTTCTGGTTTACACTAATAAGGGAGGGGGTGGCTTTTAGTGTTTGTACTCTAGTCTTTTATCTTTATTCAAGAGCTTTTCTCACCCTGGGATATAATGTTGCTCTGAGGCATGGTCTTTTTCCAGTTTCAGTTTCCTCATTTTCTTGCATTTTGTTTATGGTAATGTATTTATTAGCTCTACAAATCTTGTGGGTTTTCATGGTTTCCTTGCTTGGTAAATGGGCTTTCTCTCTTCCCATTTTTAGACTGGTGGTTGGGTGGGGATGAGCACCATGACACCAATCACCTGCACAGCAAAGGCAAGGGGAAAAGATGGCCAAGTACCCCTTTGATAGCACTGCATTGTGGTGTTTTTTGTACCTTGCAGGCTGTGCCACCTTTAATGAGTTAACACCAATGTGCATGCTTATTTAGGCCTTTTAGCTTCTCTCAAGCTCTTGCTGGGAGTCCTGTCCATTTTCACAAGTTTTCAACAGCCCTTACACAAAAGCCACTGACTTCCAAATCTGTTCTCAACCCTGGTTCTGAGGGGCTTCAATTCTGTCTCCCTCTTGGGGGTGCCCCTTCTTTTGGTCCTGTGAGCATACAAAAGTCAGTTGTCTAACATGGAATTATCAACATCTTTTCCCTCAACACATGATGTAGTTGCTATGGTCTTCTATCTCATAGAATGACAGCTATAGCAACCTCAAACTCAAGTCTGATCCTCCTTTTCCAATATGTGTTAATCTGTCTATCCATCTCTCCAGGTGCAAAAGTCTAAGATGACCCTCAGCCTGTATCGATTATCTGCCATCTTGACCTCTCTAGTCTTCATTCAAAACTAAAGTTGGGGGGAAAATGCAAACTTTATTTTTCAGCACACTGGCAGGAATACCTAAAATATTATAAATGCTGCTCAGGGTCATCAGATGGAATACAAATTTCTCATGTTCTAGTACTTGCCTGTGCCTTCTGCTTCTTCTGTTAGGTACAAGTAAGGAAAGGGAATACACAGATTCTTCAGCCAGAAATCTCTGGTCCTTGCCTTACCTGTTATTTTTGTTGACCAAGCCTTTCCACTGAATCACCAAATTCTGTGTACTCCACTTCAAAATTGCTTCTCATATGATTTTACTTTTCTCTGTCTTGTCTCCTTTTCAACTGGTGTCACCAAGATTACTACTAATATTGTTTGGGAAGGGTGCAGAATAGGAAACTGACATGGAGCTATATCCCCAACTCTTTTTTAGTTTTGCTTGGAGACAGGAGCTTGCTAAGTCACTAAGCTGCTCAGAATGGGATTGATTTTCAGATCCTGTTACTTTCACTTCCCAGAATGCTGAGATTGCAAGCATGTACTACCATGCCCAGCCTGGAAGTTCTTCTTATTTTAGTTCAATCTGTGCTTACTCATAAGAAGTTATTCTACACATTGTACCTTCAGGTACCTTTTAAAGCTGCATATGCAGTATCACTGCTAGATTATAATCCATGTACATATAACTTGAAAATTATAAAAATGTCATTCTAAAAAAAGTACCATTTTTACATTAACTTCTTAGTGTGTCTATTGTCCAACCTTCAACTGATTTTGACAGATGTTCTCTTATGTTATTAATGAAACATACCTGCTATTTGATGGACTGAATGTTTGACCTTTGTAGTGATACCACAAGAGCTTATCAGAAAGATGAGAGAAAATGGTGAGATTGTAGCTCAGACAAGCTGCAACAGGAAGACCAAAACCAGTGCTGTTAAAGTCATGCTGTCTTGACAAAGGTCAAAACAAGAAAAATGTGTGCCCTAATTAGTTAGGGCTATCAAAAAACAGAGCCAGCAGAATATCTGTTGTGCCCTGGGCAGGGAAGAATATTTTTAAGAAGACTCGGCCGACTGCCGGGCCTGGCAAATCTGATATCTTCAGGACAAGTTGGCAGATTGTCTGGAGCCACAGGGAAGAATTGAACTGCAACTTGAGTCCAAAGACAGTGTGGAGACAGAATTCCTTCTTACTCAAAAAGTTCCAGATGGAAAAAAAAACTCCAGAATTTTTTATCCTTTTAAGGCCTTCTTCAGCTGATTGGCTGAGGATCATCTGAATGGTGGAGGATGATCTGCTGTATGTAGCATCTACTGATTCAAGAGTTACATCTGAATCAATGCTGGACACTGTGACCTAATCACGGAAATGCTACCATTTCAGTTAGCACTTGCAAAAACATCACATACCAGCTTATTGAAAATATAAAGGCCAGATAGCTCAGTGAACTAAGTGCCTGCTTAGGCAAGCACCAGGCACCTGAGTGTGATCCCCAGTACCACATGCCACATCAGCCACGGCCCCCAAGGCAGCCAAGTCTGGGCGTAGTAGTGCATGGCTATAATCCCAGTGCTAGGGAGGCTGAAAACAGGAGGACCACTGTGAGTCCCAGCTGTGTAATGAGACCCTGTACCAAATACATTTTAAAAATTATATATATATATATGCATATATATTGCTCATATCTAAAGGAGTATTTAATAAGTATGGTGCATTATGTAGTGTGTTTATACATGTATATCTTTTACAAACAGACAAAATCTTTACTAAAGTAATTATATTTGAAGGATTCAAAAAATTCAGAATCCAAGAATAGAATTATATCAAATTAAAAAGCATTTTCACAGTGAAAGAAATAACTGATAACATGAACAGACAACCAACAGCATGAGAAAAAATTTTTCCCGCTACAGTTTTGACAAGAGATTAATATCTTGAATACATGAAGGACTAAAAAAAGTAGACACCCCAGAATAAAACATTTAATCATACAATGGGTGATTTAATAGACACTACTCAGTAAAAGATGTAAAAATGGCCAATAATTAGATGAAAACATGTTCAACATCTCTGGCCATTAGCAAAATGCAAATTAAAATAATATGGAGGCTTCATCTTACCAAAGAAATAATAGTTATCATGAAGAAGTCAGAGAACAAGTGCTTGCGAGGATAAGAGAATGAAAAAGGAACCCTTTTACAACTGCTAGTAAGAATGTAAATATGCACAACCGCCATGAGACTCAATGGTCCATTATGGAGTTTCCTCCAAAATCTAAAAGAGATTCCACTCCACCCAGCTATTTCTCTTCAAGGTATCTTCCCAAAAGAGTTAATGATATCATATTACAGTGATTCATGCATACTCATGTTTCTATCAGCACAACTCAATAGTTATATCGTGGAGGCAGCCTACATATCCACCAGCAGACGCATGGACAAATGCAGTGTGGTATGTATACACAATGGAGTAATACTTAGCATAAGAAGTATCCTAAAATACAGAAATTATTAATGGATATATAATCTTTCCTGATTTTTTAAAAAATAAAACAGGAGAAGAAACAGTTGACTATAAAGATGGGAGCCACTGACAGTAGGTTAAGTATTTAGTATATCAACTTATGATACTAAGAGAAACTATATCATTGTCCATTTTCCTCAGAAGTTTATATATGACTCTGTGTGTTGTTGTACACTAAGTCATATATTTTCAAAGTGCTACTGTATATTTAGAAATGGTTTTAATATTTCTTTCCTAGGAACTGAGGTAGTTTATTTTGATGGACAAAGTGCTCTGCTGCACAGATTTGATAAAGAATCCACAGCACCAACAAAGGATACCATATCTTTAAAATTTAAAACAAGGCAGAACAATGGAATTATACTCCACAGAGCAGGACCACATGGAAATTACTTCACATTGGAATTAATTAAAGGAAAGCTTGTCTTTTATCTTAATCCAGGTAAAAATTATTTTTACTTTCATGCTAACAGTTTAAAAAATCTGGTCAGATGAAAATACATGTGTTGGTACTTATTTTTTTAAGTTATGTTAAGGGAACATATGATTTATTACTCAAACCTGAACACCTTTGACAGACTAAAAATAATAACTCTGGGTGGTAGGTACAAAGAATTGTCAAGAAAAATGCACATCAAAGGGTGAGAGTCTTGATAATACATATATGCACCATGTGTGTATCTCGTGTATGGTTTATGCAAACAGCATGTATTTTGAAAACTGTGCAATAAATTTATTATAAATGCATTATGCATGATATATTATGATTATGTGGAATAATACATATAAGACTACATTATTGTGAAAGATGACATGCTATTGATGATGCTATTGATAATGATGCTATTGATAATGATGCTATTGATAATGATGTTCTAGCAAAGAAAATACTTGCAAAATAAATTTAAATGCCATGAGTAATAAAATAAAACTTTAAAAACTATTTAGAAACTATAGAAAAGAATAAAAAGAAATATAACAAAAGATGTAAAGATGCCGTGTACAAGATGATAAAAGTCAGGTGGCAATGATATGGGATGGAAAGACAGGTGCGAAGTGTGATGATGATTTAACAAAGGAAATTCATGAATTTTAACCAAACTAACTCAGTGTTTTGTTTTTTCTCTTTTAAGGCAGTGCTCATGCACACCCTACTTACGCCCCCATGACCCTCACTCTGGGCAGCCTGTTAGACGACCAGCATTGGCATTCTCTTCTCATCGACATCCTCAACACACATGTCACCGTCACTTTGGACAAACACACTCATCATTTTCATGCTAAGGAATCCGGCTACATGGACCTTAATCTTGAGGTTAATATAGAGTGTATATTTTAAATGAAAGCATTACTTGCAAAATGCTAATCTTATGAAACACCATTTCATGGTAATACAAAATACATAACACAGACTAATACACAATAGATATGTCCAGGTATCTTTAAATCCTGTATCCTTCCTAACAGGGAAATTTATTATCATAGACCATCCTTTCCACATGAGAGGAAGTAATCAGTGATACTGTTAGGTTTAGGAAATTTTCCATAAATGAAGAGACTTCAGGCAGAACACATTATTAAATACATTCCTTTTTTAACTCATCAGGTATTTCACATTTGTTGTTTGGTGATGAATAGATAGCTAGGAAATTTTTTTTCTTGTTTTAGTGTAATCTTAATCAATGTAGGATTATCCAAGACCACTTTGTGGAATTAATCACATGTATACCAATATGTTTATTAAATAACAAGAAAATCAAGTGCACACATATAAATAATTTCTTAACGTTTTAAAGGATTTAACAAATCCTTTGTTTGGCAATGAACTATCAGTATGTATCTAAACCACATTATTCTTGAATAACATCTATTCTGCCACTTATTTTAAGTGAATTTTAAGTGAATGAATGGTAAGAGAAAACTAGGAAAGCTGTGCTATGTGTCTGGTATACATAGTTTTAGTACCCTAATATCTAAAGACCTTGGTCCTATATTAGTTATCCACAATTTGATTGCCCTGATTATAACAGTAATAGCAGAAGATAGTATATACTTGTAGAGGTTGGAACTTCACAGCCCTCAGGCCAAAATTGGCCTTTTTTATTGTCTAGAGATAACCTGACTTTATTCTTTAAAAAGATTTTATTGGAACCCATGACCATCTTTCAAAATCATTTTCCATGGCTGCTTTGGTCCTACAGTGGCAGAATTGAGTCATGTAAGAGGAACCAAAAGACCTACAAGGCAAAAATGTTGACCATATGGCTTTTTACAGAAAAAATTTGCTGACTCTTTTCAGTTTATATGCAAAAGATGCAACCAGAAATAAAGCTATCAAAAGTGTTATAGTAATAAAGACTTGAGTCAAAACCAAACTTTAAAATGTAAGATAAGGCAAAGTATGCATGACAAATATTTTGTTCTATACCTGCTTGTCAAAAATGTTCTCACAATATGATCAGAAAATCACTAAATCATACCATTTATGTCATTTTTTCTTCTAAGATCAGCTATGGAGGGATTCTAACTCCTGGAGGAACACTGGGATTCTCACATAAAAACTTCCATGGATGTTTAGAAAATCTTTATTATAATGGATTGAATATTATTGAATTGGCAAAAAAACACAAAGCAGAGATCTTCACTATGGTAAGAAAGCTTAAAAAGGAAGGAAATAAAAAAGGGGTTTCTTCCTTTTTTGCATATAAAATATGTTAAGTATCCAATTATGTAATATCTTAAAAATCAACTTTTACTTTTAAAATATTTGCAGTTTGATATAACAATTTTTGTTATACACAGAAATATATATGTCTTGTGGGGCATGGCTATTTCATTTTAGTGTGAAATAAAATAACTTCTCATTTTTGCATGGAAATCTGAAAATGTGTCTCATGTTTTGAATAGTATTATTCTCAGAGGAAAATTATTTTGCATTGAAAATTTCTGATTAATTGGAAATGCTTCCACATCAGTCGATAAACTTTTCTTATTTAAAATTTAAAATATTTTTTATTAATTTTGTTGAGAAACAAATAGCAATGATTGTTTCAAAACCTATTAGTAGGACAGTTTCAATAATTAATACATTGCATATTGCTGTCTTCGTAGTGGTTACTCATAGTACAAGATGCAGACATGATACCCTGTCCAAATACTATTAGTACAAATCTTTCTTCTCACTGAATTAAGAGAAAGTAGCTGTATATCTATCCTAACTATTTTGTGTATACAGATATAAAATGGTCCTTCATTTGTATCACCTTTTTTTGTTTAGTTTTGTCAGAGATTGGTATTCCATTGCCATTTATATATTGTAGGTACTGGAATTCAGCAAAATAATCCATGCTAGTCCAGTAGTCCATAATAGTAGTGGGTTATTCATAGGACTGGCAATGTCAGAAGTTGTTGACTTTGACTTGAGCCTTTTACAGCTCAGCATATTAATATGACTTTACTTTTTATACCTTGTTTTTATACTTCTCTGCTGGACTGCAGTTTGTAAATCTTTTGTCAGTGTCAGACATGTGGATGAAAAAAAAAATAAATACATTAAAAAAATTTTAAGTAGGGCAGGCCAAATAGCTCAGCAGATTAAAGCACCTATGAGCAGGTGCTGGGACCAAAGTTTCAATCACCAGACCCTGCCCCAAGGGCACACTGAGACAGCAATTGAGACTGGACGTGGTGGCAAGCACCTGTAATCCCAGCTCTTGGGAGGCTGTAAACAGGAGGATCACTATGAGTCCATTCTAGTAGTGAGACCCTGAATACCCTGTAGACCCTTCCCTAAAAATACAATAAAGAAAGAAAAAGAAAGAAAGAAAGAAAGAAAGAAAGAAAAGAAGAAAGAAAGAAAGAAAGAAGAAAGAAAGAAAGAAAAGAAAAATTAAAATACCCCATTTACAGTGCAAGTTCATGTTTACTGTCAGCAGATCTTGGAAGTGCATTATGGGAATATTTATTTGGGTTGGCTTGAAAAATATTTCCTCTGTTATGATTCCTGAAAGGAGCTGGCTTTGAGATTGCAGGACCAAAACCAACAGGCCAGAATATAATACATCGCTTGGTCTCTTGAGAAGGTGAAAAGGGGAGAATAGCCATGAGGTCAGGAATCTTTCACGAAGGTTGTGGAAGTGGAGAAAGGTGCATCTGAAGTCTACCATGCTAAAATAATACAAATAGAAAACATTGGCAAGATGCCTGAGCAGAGAAACACCAAAACAAAGAGAGATATGAAGATTCCAAAGAAAGCTGGTACTTTTTGTAACATTAAAAATAAGGGAGAAAGGAAGAGGTAAATGCAAAAGCCTTCTATTTAAAGTTCCTAATCATGGAGAAATGGAAATATTTAATTTTTTTAATATTTTCTTTTTTAAAAATTCATTTAGTACAGAGTCTATAGGGTCTCACTACACAGATG